GCTTGGGATCCTCTGTCTCCCTCTCTCTCTGCCTCTCCCCTGCTCATGCTCTCTCTTTCTCAAAAAAATAAAAATAAAGATACAGATTTTTTTCTTAAATAATACCATAGTTATTGCTTGCCTTAGTTATAGTCCATACATTGTCTTTCATTCTGAGTACGGGTCTATAATTCCTAATCTGTAATTTTGAAATCAGAAGGCTCTGAAGAAGTAACTTTTCTCCTAGATTTGACTGACACCAATTACATTTGATGACAAAACCTGACCTGAATAGACATGAGACTATTTATAGTATTTATTTCTGATTTACTTATTTCTTATAGTTCATATATTTTGCCGCAGAGGTATTAATATGTGGTTATGGAGTATTGCATTAGATCTCACTGGAGGTGTTAAATTATATATGAAATATGTACTGTTCAAAACCTAAAAATTCTGAATTCTGAGTCATGTCTGTCTTGGTCAAAATGATTTTTGGTAAGCAGCTGTGGACAAGAATTTCATAATTTCCTCTTTGAAATACCTCTAACGGGTGCCTTGGGTGGCTCAGTGGGTTAAGTGTCCAACTTCAGCTCAGGTCATGGTCTCACAGTTCATGAGTTTGAGCCCTGCATTGGGCTCTGCCCTGACAGCTCAGAGCCTGGAGCCTGCTTTGGATCTGTGTCTCCCTCTCTTTCTGCCCCTCCCCTCCATCTCTCTATCTCTCTGTCTCTCTGTCTCTGTCTCTCAAAAATAAACTTAAAAAAAATTTAGAAATATCTCTATAATTTGGGTTAGTTTCCAAGCATAGGGTTTTTTTGTTTTTTGTTTTTTTAAAGTTTGATGTCAGGTATGCTATTTTGGTTAGAGTGAAGCTTTGGATAAAGGAATGGGAAGAGGGGTGCCTGGCTGGCTCAGTCAGTAGAGCATGTGAGTCTTGATCTCAGGGCTGTGAGTTCAAGTTCCATGTTGGGTGTAGAGATTACTTTAAAAAAAAGCGGGGGGGGGGCACCTGAGTGGCTCAGTTCATTAAGCGTCCGACTTCAGCTCAGGTCATGATCTCACTGTTCACGCATTTGAGCCCCGCATTGGGGTCTCCACTGTCAGCACAGAGCCCGCTTGGGTCCTCTGTCTCCCTCTCTCTCTGCCCTTCCCCTGCTCGTTCACATACACAAACTCACTCTCTCTCAAAAATAAATAAACCTTAAAAAAAAAAAAAAGAATGGGAAGCTGTAAGAGTAGAAAGGTGAACTGGGGCCAGACTGAAAGGGACCATACAAGTTTAAGGGGTTTTTATTTTGTTCTGCAGCCAACATTAAGACCAGGCAATTCATTTGGTTTGGTGGCTGAGTCTTTGTTTCAGAGCTTTTATATTTACTTGGCCACTGTGTGTTAATAGGTAAGCACCCTCTAATCATCCGTCTTCACTTCTTACTACTTGGTGCTGTATATTTTCCAGTTCTGAGCTCCCAGGTCTTCTGTAATCTTTTGTATTCCATACTGTACTTGGGACATTGTTCCCAGTCAGAGAACTGGGATGGATGTGGAACTCAATTGTGTGCTTGGTTACAATCAGATTACAATCCTCTACTACCTGCTGTCCAGTGCCTGAAAGTTACTGCATATGTTTTGTCCTATTTTATAGTTGTTTATGGTTTGAAGGTAAGTCTGGTACCAATCATTCTGACAAGGAAGCAGAAGTCTCTTACTCCTTTGAAACATATGCCATTTGTCTGTTTTCTCATTGATATCAATCTCCAGGTCATTTGTGTTCGTTTATAGATGACTTTGATTTGTGGGTTATAAACTTTCTCTCCATTTTAAATCTTATCATCATTCTAGGTGACTTCAGTGCTTGTTTGAATAACCAACCAAATAGTCTTTCTTGAGGTGATTCCTTTTCAGCCTTCCACTTGGATCAACATACAGTGGCCCTTATTATCACCAGAAAGAGCTTTACCTCCAAAATCTTAAAAAACAAGTATCCTTCTTGCTGACCATTGTCTACTTCTTTCATTCAGTCAGTCAGATTGTACCTGCTCCTTGACTTCTCAGCCCCCTGACTCCTTTGTTTTCTTCCTATCTGTTATTTCACTTCTCTTGTTGCTTTCCTATGCAGTTTAGAGTTGGTCTAGCTTAGAATCCATGGTTCATCACTTCAACCACTCTCTTACCAGAATCCTTAACTCCTTTCTATGCACTCACCTGACAAAATTCAAATCTTGGATCAATGATGCTGCTTGCTTTTTTAGTGTTTATATCTTGGTCACTGAATGCTAAGAGAAAGTCCCAAATCTGTAAATTTAACTCTTCAACTTCAGTATTGTCCAGCAGTTCCTCAGAATACCCTTTTCTTTACTTTTCCTGAGCAGCTGTTTCAGAACTTCCCCAATCTGCTAGAACTTATCTAGCAACCTTTGCCTTTTCTCTGAGCATCTCCTATTTCACTTGAAGGCCACTATATTTTAATCCTCACTACTAAATTGCCAGGTTTAACTGCATTCCCATCCATCTGTTCTTTCTCTCTTGTATTTGGGAAGAGATATCTCCCCCTCTTATTACTATTCTATTTAGGCTCTGAATCCCAACTACTACTGTCTTCACTAGGATGTTATTCAATTAGTTCTTCTCTCCTTCTTTTTTTTTTCTCCTTTCTTCTGCTATCCTGTCAACATTTAAATATGATTAGGTTTTACTAAACATTTTCACTCATTATCTTCCTCCAGCCACCACCTTAGCCCGTCGTTCCTTTAAAAAGTGAATTCACCACATTTACCAACTTTACTTTTTTACTTCCATTTCACTCTGTAATCCATTGTGGTCCTTTGCCATTCTACTAAGATTGCTTTTGCCAGTTCATCAGTGCCTTTTTTTGTTGCTAAAACTTCTCAGTTGCTAAACTGTCTTTTACTTAATTTTACAAATATTTGATCATGTTAACTACTTTGTCCCTGTTGATTGATTGATTGGTTTTTTTTGCCTTGACAGCTTTTATGACTTGATCCTTGGTTTTCTTCCCAGCTCTTCTAATTCCTTTATAAATTTATCTGGCTCTGCTTAAACGTCTCTCTTCTTTTTTCATTCTGTAGCTTTTCCTTTGGTCATTTCATTTATTCCCATGACTTCAGTGACCTTTATGTGATAATCCCCAAAATCTTTTCCTTAGCCCATATTCTCTGCAGAGATTTAAACTACCCAATATTTAACTGCTCGTGAAGCATCTCGGCTTGCCATGTTTTAAGACACTTGAAATTTAGCATGTCCAAAGAGAACTGATTTTTTTACCTATTCCTTCAGCTCACATAATCAACAACTCAGTCCTCTTAATTCTTCCTCTTAGGTGTTGCAGAACAATCAGCTTTTTATCTCTGTATTGGCTATCCTTTTATTCCTGTGGATTACTGCAGCTTTCTAATTAGCCTGCATGTTTCCAGTTTAGGCTGCTATCTCTATACTGCAGCCAGAGTGGTTTTTTGATTATAGAGTCTAGTGATACCACTCTCCTTTGTAAAACTTTGAAAATTCCTAAAATCTTCTTAAAACTCTTCATTGTCTCCTAGATATTACTTGTGGTAGATGACAGAAACTAAACTCACACTAGGTTTGGCAAAGAGTGGAATCCTTGGAGGTTTTTGTAAGTGCAGAAAGAACTGGAGTTGTAGTAGCTAGGCTTCAGAGACACGTAGAACCGGAATTTAAAATGCAACCAATACTTTCTTCACTTCCCTTTTTCTCTTTCTGTGGCCTGGCTTCATTCTCCTCTCACCACTACATAGTGATTTGTGGACTGAAGAACTAGCACCACAGTTTGTACCTTATACAGTTATCAATTAATAGACATAATGTGGTAATTGGGATTTGAACTGTGTTGTTGGGGGACTGGTGTTTCACAAAATTGTGCTAACAGAAATTTGTGCATATCAGGACTGTGCAGTATGAGGACTGCCTGTATTGAGACATGTTAAGATGCCTTATTTTATGACTCCATATCATCTGGCTTCTGTTTCTTTTTTTTTTTTTTAATGTTTATTTTTGAGACACAGAGAGCATGAGCAGGGGAGGGGCAGAGAGAGGGGGACGGAGGATCCTAAGAGGACTCTGTGCTGACAGCGGCAAGCCTGATATGGGGCTTGAAGTCATGAACCATGAGATCATGACCTGAGCTGAAGTGGGACTCTAAACTGACAGCCACCCAGACACCCCTGTTTTGTTTTGTTTTGTTTTGTTTTGTTTTGTTTTGTTTTGTTTTGTTTTAAGATTCATCTTAAAGCCACTTCGTCCTTGGAGCTATGCTCAAATCTTAGTTCATGTGGTTTTCCCAAGTTTGAATTCCCCTGTCTCTTTCCAAGTCCCTCATTTCTCTACCCTATTCTTTTCTGTTGGGTTTCTGCTACTTACTCTTTTAAGCTTTTCCATAGATACTGCTTTCTTTGAAAAAAGCTTTTTTGTCCTTTTAAATTTGGGTTATATATTCTGCCTGAGGTGTTCCCATATCATGTATGCTTTCTCTTGTCATAATATAGAACACATGATCACACTGTATTGTGCTCATTTACTTACCTGTTACATCTACTAGATCATGTTTTCCATGCATGTAAAGATCATGGCAGTGCTGTTCCCAGTTGTCTCCCTAGAGTGTAGTACTGGGTAGCACAAAATATTAGTCAGTCAGTAACGTTTTTTTTGATTTAATGAAAAATAATCAGAATTTTGATGGTGTATTAATACTACCAGTATTATTGGAAGGTCTTTTGGAAAAATATAGACTAGTCAAACCTAGGTACCAAATTACAAAATACTGAAAATTTATACTTTCATATACTTTAAATGAAATGTACATTTGATAGCATGCATTCTGTGATCCTTAGAGTTAAATAAATATATTAGAGACATGACAATTGGAGATCTGTCTTCAGTCTGATATGGTAGGTGCTTAATAAATACTTGTTGAATCATTGAAGGAATAACTTAAATTTTATACTTTTGTTTGGTTGTAATAATTATTTTCATTTATTTCTAAGGTATCTTCATGTTTTAATGATCTTCTGGTCATTTGTTGCTGGAGTTGTTACCTTCTATTGCTCATTGGGACCAGATTCTCTCTTACCAAATATATTCTTCACAATAAAATACAAACCCAAGGTAAAATTTTTGTGTTCTTATTTTTGAAAGAGTCAGCATGTATTATCTGTGCTGTTTAATATTATTATTGAAAGCATGTTAAAGCAGTGATTTATAAAATCCATCTGCGATTATTTAATAGTGGAAGACATAAGAACATATTCAAAATGAAATTTATGTGTATATTTTTGAAGGTATATAGTTCTACAGGGAGCTATGAAAAGAAAATACAAAATTCTCAAAAAGTTGAGATCCATAATTTTATTTTATTTTTTAATGTTATTTATTTTTGAGAGTGTGAGAGAGTGTGAGCAGGAGAGGGGCAGAGAGAGAGGGAGACACAGAAACCAAAGCAGGCTCCAAGCTCTGAGCTGTCAGCACAGTTCACGAACTCATGAATGTGAGATCATGACCTGAGCTGAAGTTGGACACTTAACCTACTGAGCAACCCAGGTGCCCTGAGATCCATAATTTTAGAGTGTCCTCTAACTGCATATTAACCATGAAGACAATAAATTAAGACAGAGGTTCCCAGATTGGTTGTATAGTAGAATCACCTGAGGAATCTTTAAAATAGAGATTCCTAGGCCTTCCCACCAGATTTTGATGGAATAGTTCTTGGTTAGGACCTCATAGTCAGTATTTGTTAAAGGCTTTCCAGGTGATTCTGAGGCACAGACACAATTAGGGAACTCTGGATTAAATGATCTAACCCTGTTAATTTCCTAAATGTCTTTTTGCTCCATAAAAAGAGACAGAAATGATCAGGAAGTTTGCTTAACCAAAATAATTTGTATATCTGAAATTTCATTAGGGTGGTAGTGTACTGAATCTATGTCGAGTAGGCAAAGTCACTAGTGTGTAGATACCTTGAAGTCTCACTTAATAATTCTTCAAGTTAATTCGGTCCCTCTTTTTAGATTTGTTGGTATTTCTACTAAGAAAAAAACACAGAGGAAGGGGGTGCCTCATATTTGAATGATTATTTATTTTGAGAGAAAAAGACAGCATGTGCACATGTGTGCACGAGTGGGGGAGGGTCAGAAAGGTAATCTCAAGCAGGCTCCCCATGCTCAGTGTGGAGCTAGACACGAGGCTTGATCCCATGATCATGAGATCATGACCTGAGCCGAAACCAAGAATGGGACGCTTAACTGACTGAGCCACCCAAACGCCCCCAGTGATGCCCCATATTTTGTCAGGAACATTACTTCTCTTTCTCCTAATTGAAGTTAAGGTTTTAGAGAAATAAAAAATAGTTTTTTCTTACATTTTTTCAGTAGAGTATCATTTTCAAATATAGATCGATTTTTCTTTTTTTAATAAGTGAAAATAACAACTGTCCTTAATTTTAAGCTTGGAAATTTGGCTTAGGTATTATAATGCATTTCATCAGGTATTTTTTCTCTTTGATTTGGCAGTTTAATTTAGCCAGCAGTATTTATTACAAGGAATGATTTCAGTGTTACAGCATACAAGTGATAATTTTTTTAAAAATTTGCTGAATTTATACATTGATAAGCTTTTGAAAAGATTATTCTCTTTAGTAAAGATTAAGTGTAAAGTAAAGGCAAATCTCTCCCCTTCCTCATTTCCCTTTTTTAGCAGTTAGGACTTCAAGAATTATTTCCTCAAGGTCGTAGCTGTGCTGTTTGTGGTAAAGTGAAATGTAAACGACATAGGTAAGTTAAACATTTTTTATGTGTTGATCCTTCCAATTACCTTTTGGATTTCAAGCATTTTAATTGTATGATTTTCTTTAGGCCTTCCTTACTACTTGAAAACTACCAGCCATGGCTAGATTTGAAAATTTCTTCCAAGGTTGATGCATCTCTCTCAGAGGTAACAGATTTATTTAATATTGTCAAATATACTCAAGCGGAAAATATGAAATACTATGGAAACTTTAGTCAGGGAACATCTTAATATATGCCACCTAATCAATTCTTGACTATATAGTTGGTTATTATGAAATATGCAACTCAAATGGTAAGTTAGAAATGTTTTTGGATCCTATGTCTAATTTAAATGGACATTTTAGCCAAAGAAAGCACTGTTTTACCTAGATATTTCTTAACTTTATAACAATAGTCATCTTTATGGTAAGATAATACTATTTTGTAATTCCAAAAGGAGACATGACCTATAAGGAGCAAGTCTGTCCTGCTGAATTATGATCCCAGTTTTGACACTGGCTGAAGGGTAGAGTGGAGGACAGGATACTTGTCACGGTTTCCACATAATGTAGGAATAAAATGCTCCCTTTTCTTTGTTGCAGTCACATTTTATATGTACCTTTTGGGTAACGTATATTTTAGTTATTTCTTTTAGAGACTTTTTTTCCCCATCGATCTGAGAAAACAGTCAAGTCCTTGAAGGCAGAGAGTAGGGTCCCATTTGTTCCCAGCACTAACCGTAGTGCCAGATATTTTGTTGGTAGTTGGTAGATATGTACTGAATTAAGTTGAATGCTAATTAGTTGAAGAATAGCATTAGGCTCCTGAATCCTACCTAATTATCTTCTTTTCCAATTTGTATCCTTCGGCTACATAAATGCCAAACTGTTGGCACTTTTCTTTTTCATTTCTTCTGTAAGTCCTTTTTCATCTTCAAGATTCCTTGATTTAGGACTATGCTGTCTAGTATGGTCGCCACTAGCCACATGTGGCTGTTAATAAACAACTTGGAATGTATTAGCCCAAATTGAGATGTGATTTTGAGGATTTAGTAAGAAAAAAGGAAGGTAAAGTATCCTATTATATGTTTTATTGATTACATGTTGAAATGATAATATTTTAGATATATATTGGTTTAAATAAAATATATTGTAAAATCAATTTCACCTGTTTCTTTTTACTTTTTAAAAAGTGTAGGTACTAGAAAATTTAAGACTACATATGTGGCTCACATTACATTTTTATTGGAGAGTGCTGATTTGATGAGGTCTGCTCAAGATAAGACCTCTAATAAGAGTATTATGTGTCTTTGGCACTTCATTAATTTCTTAAAAAAAAAAAAAGAAAGAAAGAAAGAACTTAAGGGAAGCTCCTGGCTGACTGCCTGGCACTTATTGGTGTTCAGTAAATGTAAGCTCCAACATTTAAAAACATTTTTTGAGATTTTACTATAGGCAGGAACTGGACTTGGCTCCAGGAATAGAAGGAGAAATAAGATATGGTCACTTTCTTCTAGGAATTTCAATCTAGAAGGGGAGGTAGGCATATAAACAGGTACATACAATATAATGTAAATGCAGGCAATAACGGAAGAAATGTGCAATGTATATTATTAGTACAGAGGAAGAAATGAGTAACTGTTGAGAGGGGCAACCAGAAAGTATAACTAGAAGTTATACTTCTATACTTCTATAACTGATAGTGTGTGGAAAAAGGTATTTCATGGTTTAGGAAGAGCTTTTGAAAGGAAAGAGAGGCCTTGAAACAAGATGTTCAGTAAGCTGGAGGGCAAAATGTGAGGGAGGATGTGGGCAGTGAAGATACTATATTGTAGCAGCTAATATTTATTGGTTATTGCTCTGTATTAGGCATAATACTAATTACTTACATTATTTTCTGAAATCACACAACCTATAAAATAGGTGCTATTATTGATGAATTTACCAGAACTGGACTTTAGAGGGTTTTAATAATTTTCTCAAGTTCATAGCTGCTTGGTAACAGAATTCACTCTAAAACCCGAGTCTGGCTTAGTTCTTAACCAGTTTATATTTATTTCTTTATTTTTTAATTTTCTTTTTAATGTTTATTTATTTTTGAGACAATGCGAGAGACAGAGTGCAAGCGGCGGAGGGGCAGACAGAGGAAGACACAGAATCTGAAACAGCTCCAGGCTCTGAGCTGTCAGCACAGAGCCTGACGTGGAGCTCAAACTCACGAACCATGAGATCATGACCTGAGCCAAAGTAGGACGCTTAACCGACTGAGCCACTCAGGCGCCCCTTAACCAGTTCTTATATGGCCCTTTAGAAATCAGATCATCAAAAGACTAAAAGGACTTTGCTGAAGGAGTGTAATTGATCATGGAAGCCAGTGATTTTTTTTTTTTTCAACGTTTATTTATTTTTGGGACAGAGAGAGACAGAGCATGAACGGGCGAGGGGCAGAGAGAGAGGGAGACACAGAATCGGAAACAGGCTCCAGGCTCTGAGCCATCAGCCCAGAGCCTGACGCGGGGCTCGAACTCACAGACCGCGAGATCGTGACCTGGCTGAAGTCGGACGCTTAACCGACTGCGCCACCCAGGTGCCCCCGAAAGCCAGTGATTTTTGAACTGTGTAACTGGAGTTTTCAGATGTGACTCATAGGATGTAGTGGGAGGTGAAAAGAAAGTAATGGTCACAGCTGCTGGCAGACATCTTTCTCCCACCCCTTTAAAATTAGTGCAGCTCCACTTTTCTTACTTTGATATATTGTGGTTTGAGAAATTGAAGGTTTATACGGGGTGGGGGGGATAATATGTTCAGATATATGTTTTAGGTTACTCTAACAGCTTTGTGGTGGGTAGAAGGGAGCTAGCTTGGAAGGAGACTAGTTTAGAGGCTGTTGCTACAATTTAGGAGTGAGAAAATAAGGACTGATCAATGGAGCTGTAGAAGAGAGCTACTCAGGATGTAAAATCAATAGTAATTAGTGATTGTAATTGGGAAATAAAATAAGACCAGATGTTTAATGGCAGACTTTCTAGTTTCTGTGTCATATCCCTGCTTATATGTATTTTATTTTCCCACTTGATAATCACCAGTGCTTAGTTTTTCTAATTAAAAAAATCAAATCTTGCCTTAATATTTAGAGAATCTGTAACCTTTCTTATTGCTGCCAGAGAAGGAATATAGGCATATAGTCAGATTAGATATATTGTTTCATTCTCTCCTTACTGCTTTTAAAAGTTACTGCCCACTGTTGCAAGTCTTTATTATTTTTTATTATTTTTTAAAACTTTTGGTTCTACATTTGCAATAGACACATTAAAAAAAATGTTTATTTGAGAGAGAGAGAGAGCATGAGCAGGGGAGGGTCAGGTGGTGGGGGGGACATAGGATCTGGAGCAGGCTCTGTGCTACTAGCAGTGAGCCCAATGTGGGGCTTAAACTTAGGAACCATATGATCATGACCTGAGCTGAAGTTGGATGCTCAACTGACTGAGCCACCCAGTCACCCCGTTGCAGGTCTTTTTAAAAATTAACATACTGCTACACTCAGACACAAGAAATAGAAAGTTTTTTTTGTTTTTGTGTTTGTTTTAATGTTTATTTATTTATTTTGGGAGAGAGAGAGGGAGAGACGAGCAGGGAAGGGGCAGAGAGAGAGAATCCCAAGCATGTTCCACACTGTCAGCCCAGACAGCCCAATGCAGGGCTCAAACTCCCAAACTGTGAGATCATGACCTGAGTTGAAATAAAAAAGATGCTCAACCAACTGAGCCACCCAAGTGCTCCAAGAAATGTAAAGTTTAACACCTAGGGTTTCTTTAGTTTTGTTACTTTTTACTTATAATTTATATACTGATTATAAATTTACAGCCTAAAATTTTCACAAAGTAAACATATCCATATAACTAGCACCCAGATCAAGAAACAAAGCATTATTAGCACCCCAGAAGTCCCCCTCATTGTTTCTTTAGTCACAATTCTCCCTTCTGAAGTAATCACTTATACCTGAATTTGACCCCTTATAAAAGTAATCACTGATTCCTAAATTTGACCCCTTATGTAAGTCTTACCTACTTGTTTCTTCATTTTATTCAAGGAATACTGATTTATAGAGAAAGTTAGGAATCTAAAAGGCTAACCTATATTTTTCTTCTTTCCATAGAACTTGTAGTTCAGTGACTCTTCAGAGAAGTCAGGAAAAATTTAAGTGTTTTTTTTTTTTTTATTTAATTGTAGGAATATTTAGAAATGTGTGTATATCATTCTAATAGCAATTTTTCTTTTTATGGAGTTTTACGGCTTTCACATATGTTCTTTTTTTTAATGTTTATTTTTGAGAGATAGAGCATGTTTGCATACAAACAGGAAAGGGGCAGAGAGAGAGAGGGGAAGAGAGAGAATTCCAAGCAGGCTCCTCGCTGTCAGCACGGAGCCCACCATGGGGCTTGGACTCAGGAACCGTGAGATCGTGACCTGAGCTGAAATCAAGAGTTGGACACTTAACCAACTGAGCCACCCAGGTGCCCCTCATATTTTGTTTTTGATCATCACAACAACCATGTAAGGTTGACATACACGCTTTGTCATGTGAAAGTATGATATTAGATGTCAATATTTAGGATAATAAAATTGGTTCTTGGTGATATATATTATTCAGTAGTATGGTTTATTTTCCTAGAATTAGTTAATTAATTTGATTTTTCTTTAAAAAATAATTTTTATACAGGTTCTTGAATTAGTGTTGGAAAACTTTGTTTATCCGTGGTACAGGTATGTTCTTTCTATAATACCTTTTTTCTTTACTGAATACAATGAAGTGTACTAATGAAATGTTTTCGGTGTAGGCCGGGATTTCTCAACTTTGTCACTATTGACATTTTAGGCCAAGTAATTCTTCTTTTGGAGGGGCTGTCCTGTGTATTATAGGATGTTTAGCAGAACTCCTGGCCTTTTTCCATTAGCTACCAGTAATACCCCCTCATCCTCTTATTTGTGATCATCAAAAATGTCTTCAGAGATTGCCAGATATTACCTGGGAGGCATAATTGGCCCTAGGTAAGAACCATAGACATAGGCAATCGATTAACAGTTTAGTGACAGCAAAGAAGAAAAACCTAGGCTGCTTTTTGAAGGAAAATCAACTTAGAGAATTTCTTATCACTCCTGAATGTAGTAACTTAATATTTTGTATGCGCTTTTTACATTTGAAATAATTGTACATTTAGAGGCAAATTTATATTCAGATGTTTCATTAAATTGAAATATAATTTTAATAGTATTTTCCTAGAATATTAATGTTTTTTTCCAAAGTAACTGTTTTTAGTATCTGCTATGGATGTACAAGCACCCTCTGCCTTGGAAGGATATAGAAAATACTCTAGATCTAAAAAATTAATCTAGTTTGAGAATCAGAAATTCAAATTATATACTTAATAAATGTTTCCTTACAAAAACATCGTGTATTTAGTTACATATTTGAACACTTACACCTATATGACTTACAGGTGTAATATTCAATGACATCTGTCTTAATTTTATATATTTTGAATTTTCTAATTAAAAGCCGCTAGTAGGTGAGATGCTCTATATGTATTAAACTTAATATCCAATTTATATGCCATATTTTCCTGAAAAGCTATGTAAATTAATATTTTTATGTTGGATTCTGTCTTAAATATGGGGCATTTGCCATTTAAGTAAAGTTGATGATAAGTCTTTTTGTATAATGAATCCTGTTGTGAATATTCCCCTCACTCCTGCCCGTGTTATGACTCTTCATTAAAGCTGGCTGTATTTCTAAATATTAAAGTATGTATTTTCTCTTCAGTGTAGTTATTGATACTGAAATAGCCACTTTCCTGGGATTAATAGTAGGAAGCGTGGTTAATACAATTATCTTCTTTATTCTGCCAGGGGACTAAATAGCACCATCTCCAAGTTCAGGATATCACCATTATACATACCTTTCTCGCTTGCTTTGATTAGGGAAGTGACCTAATTCTTCTAGGGACCTCAAGACTTCAGGAAAATGAAAAGTAGCTTCTCAGAAGAAAGTTGTTAAAATTTCCGTTTAAAAACTCAAACATTGAGTTTCACTTTATTTTCTTTTTCAAATAGAAATATTATTTTTTACCCTTTACAATCAGTTTATAATATTAATCTATAAATATTTTAAACCAAATTAAAATTTTGTATTAATTTAATTCTGTTGCTCCTCTCATATTATTCTTTGTTTTGTTTCTTAGAAATTTCTTTAATGATGTTTAGAAAATGATTGTAGTATTGTAAAAATATAACTTTGTATATGTGGTTGTCTACAGGGAAATATATACTACAGTTTACTTAGTAATGATTATGTCTTGGTACTAGAATTATGGGAGATGCTTATTTTTTCATTGTACATTTTTATCTTTTATTCTGTAATGTAATGCATTGTTTAAAAAGCAAAGGAAAATAGCATAATTAAAAGGAAAAAAAGAGGAAGTTCTGAACTTTCCCGGGTTTGTGGAAGGAGTAATGGTGTATTTCTCTGAGCTCTTAAATGCTTGCTTTTCTCCTTAATTGAAGGGATGTAACAGATGATGAGTCCTTTGTTGATGAACTGAGAATTACATTACGGTTTTTTGCATCTGTCTTAATTCGAAGGATTCACAAGGTATATATTTATAATGAGAAATTTGGGAATTTGGGGTTTTATTATTCCTAAAAAGGTGTTTTTTTTTTTTAATCTTAGTTTTACTTTTATCCTATACTATAAGTATTTTTTTCTTCACTTTAATTTTTTTAGATTAAAAGGAAAATGGTCATTTTTGATTTATTGATAAGTTTTACTTCCTTTAATGCTAATGCACCTTGGTTTGTAGTAATTAGAAATAAAAAGACAACTAAAGACAACTGTAGGAAAAAAAGTCTCGTTCTAGTTAGATGAATTTATTGAGTAAATGGCGATGATTATGATCTACTTTTTAAAAAAATGTTTCAAGTCATATGTTTGGGTCTTTGTATGTAGTTACAGTATGTTGGCTATAGACACACATGCTTGTATACTGCCTTGTCAGTTTTTTAGAATTGAGCACATTGACAATAAACTGGTATATATCATCTCTCTACAATTACTAAATAAAGGTAAATCTTGTTAAATGTTTCTATACTTTTTTGAGAAATTAACAAAATAGTCAATCACTGTAGAAAAGATATGCAAAAATATGAATAAGCAGTTCACAAAAGAAAAATAAAAATGGCCAATGAACACTTGAGACTATGTTGTCTCACATCAAATAAATACAGTTTTTTGATGAGATGCTTTTCTGTTGCCTATCAGATTGGGAAAGAATGATAATGTCTAGTAATGGTCACTGTGGGGAAACAGGCAGAACAAGTACAAATCCAAATTGGTATAACTCACATACTGGAGGGCAGTTTGGTAATCTTTAACAAAAGACTTAAAAACGTCTATACTCCCAAATTTAATTATATTTTGGATAATATATTTTAAATAATCATGAGATGTATGTAAAAATGAATGCTCGAAGATTCATTGTAGTATAATTTAAGAAAAGGAAAACTGAAAAGAAAATCTGATGTCTAATGATAAAATTGTTGATTAAAATATAGAACATGCTAATTATAGAATCCTGTACAGCCATGAAAAATCGTTTTGTAGAATAGTACTTATTTACATGAGAAATTATTTTCCTTATATAATCAAGTGGAAGAGGCTGGAAAATAATATATGTGGTATTTTTCCACATTGAAAACAAAGCTTACATATTAAAGCTTGTTAATATGTGTATTAAGTACATATATATCCTTATTGTTAACTCTTACCAACATGATGGGTTGATGCTGATTTTTGGTTCTTACCATGCACTTCTTTCAGTTCATCTTTATTTTTCTTCATATTGAACTTTTACCATTTTATAAATAGAAAAAAGTTGATAAATATTAAACACATTGTCTACTTTTTAATTAAATTTTTTTTAATGTTTATTTTTGAGACAGAGAGAGAGAGAGAGAGAGAGAAAGAGAGAGAAAATGTGAGTGGGGGAGGGGCAGAGGGAGGGAGACACAGAATCCATAGCAGGATCCAGGCTCTGAGCTGTCAGCACAGAGCTTGATGTAGTACTCGATCCCATGGACCGCGAGATCATGACCTGAGCCGAAGTCAGACACTTAACTGACTGAGCCACCCAGACGCCCCTTAATCGTATTGTTGAAAAAATTCTAAGGCACATATATAGAGTTTAATTGGAATAAAAGATTTAGTAAGAAATATCAATTGGTTGATAGTAAGTCACTTAAATTACAACTTAGAGTAAGTCAAATAAAATCAATTGATCAAAAAGCTGATTCATTACAATAAATTTATAAGTATTAATTTAGAAGAATAGCTCTGCTGTGTTAGGCTTTGAGAAAGCCTAGTGATTTTATTTTATTTATTTTTTTTATTTATTTTTATTAAAAAAAAAATTTTTTTTTAACGTTTATTTTTGAGACAGAGAGAGACAGAGCATGAACGGGGG